GTTCACAAATTTATATAAGACACCATTTATTCTCATAACAAGAATATCTAATTGGTTCACAAATTTATATAAGACACCATTTATTCTCATAACAAGAATATCTAATTGGTTCACAAATTTATATAAGACACCATTTATTTTCATAACAAGAATATCTAATTGGTTCTCAAATTTGTATAAGACACCATTTATTCTCATGACAAGAATATACCTATATCTACAAACTGCTCATGGAAATAAAACGTTGATGCCTACAATCCACTATGGTAGACCTAATGTTGTTCCCTACACCCGTTTAAACCTGGGTATAATTTGCCGAGCTGGTATGTGAGCGAGTCAGTGGTGTTGGCCGGCGTTCAAGGCTGTTGGTTAGTTCGTTGATAGGGATCTCTGTGTGGGTAACTTAACCGGTAGGAGATGAGCTCGCGATAGCACGTTGTGTCAGAATTTAGTCGTGAAAGGATTTAATAGCGATCGTATCTTCGTGTGTCGCAGTAGTCTACATATCTAGACCCAATCTCTGCCATTTCGGATCAGTAATTAGAAACAATTATATCCCTCTGATTTTTTTCCTCCTTCCTTCTCTAACTGATATGAACGTCGTAGAGTATTTGAGGGCTAAACCATGTACTTTTTACAGCTAAAGGAGTTTCCTGTTCTGTGAATTATACTTATATAGCTTACATCGGATATGTTTTTAATCTTTTCATGTTTTCTCAGTAACATCGGATTATTTACATAATGTATATTTTAGTGAGATATACCACCTGTTACTAAAGTAAAGCTAACAAGTTGATGTCTTAAAATATGTGTACCTCTTTGTCATTGTTCTGCCAAGAGGTAGAACTGACAATTGTCTTTGTTTGAAAAAGAATGCGTTTTAAACCTCTATTGCTTTACTTGTTAGTAATGTTTGCAATATGATAATGATGATTTGTTTATGAGATTGTCATTATTGTTCTTTAAAGAAATAAATATTTTCAATACACGATGTATTACTTTTGTCTGCAAGATAATGACATTTTGTGTATGTATGCATTCAGCCTATTTCTTTGTTCAAGTAAGAAAAATATCTTTAAACTTGTTATCTAGAAAACGTAGTTCTAAATATGCCATTGTGATGTAAATGTTGATGTCTTAAATATTTCCACATTTCAGTTGTAAGATTCTAAAAAAAGAACAAAATCTTTCTGCATTTCAAATTGAAAAATGGTCTTAATAGGAATCTAAATTACATGTATGTTAAGTAATAAATTATATTTTTAGCGAAGATATGGATACCAGGTAATTGTTTCTGAAAAGCTGTAAGTAATATATCTTTATTGTGATATAACACGGTGCTGTACAGGCTTCATAATTAATTGTCTTAGACATATATCTAGCTGGTCTAATTCAATTTCCTCGGTCAGGAAAGAAAGTCCAAACAATTGTTTCTGGTTTTCTTGTATTGTGCATCGAACTTCTGTCTTTATTTTCACTATTATTGGCTGTATCGACTTAAAGTTCATAGCCTACTCACAAAAGACACGTTCTCATTTAACCCTGTAACACATCAATGAAGTGTTGTTTTTGCACAATCACCTCGTCAACCACGAATTACATTTATGAGGAGACTAACTGGATTATACATCCAGATTAAGGATATCGACGGTGCGAACAAACTTGTACAGAATGGATAATGTTCTCGCCTGAGATCGTACTCAAACCGCGCAATATATTAATCTTGTTATTGCAAAAACTCAAGAGTTTAATGAAATCAAGTAAGGCAAAATGTATAGAAAGAACGCACCAAAATTTTCGTAGCTTCTATGGAATAAATCGGGCTTGAGATTGAAAGGAATCGATGCATGGGGAGGGATTCGCTTTACGTTCCTTATCATATAGCGCTCCCTCTATGTCAGGATTAGGACAAGTTTTTATCTTCAAAAAAGCAATGTTCATACGACCATGCGTTTTCGTATATTCTGTTCACAATTAGATGAGACGGTCTGCTTCATTAGCTCGGCTGTTTGTATCCAGTTTTCGCTACTCTGACAAACAAGCTGTGCAAATACGAGATTTTTAATAAAATCATTCTCCCATACGCTACAGCAGAACAAAAGGCAAACGAAAATGTGGTTTTTGCTTCTTTTATTAAAAAAATAAAAGTCAATTATTTCAGCATTAAAGAATTCAGTTTAATCTTCCAGTTTCTTTTTATAGGTTCTGAATCCAAGCAATAATCCATGAAAAGATTCTGTGAAACAGAAAATTAAATAAAACTAGCAAACGACGCTAGCTGTAAACGACGTACTGTAACGTTAAGAGAAACAGAGAAAATACAAGCAAATCAATCCGATACCTTTAGCTGGTGCGTAAGTCTGTCTGTTCATCCGATACATCCTGTCACAACTTCTGTTCCACCAGGGTGTCTATTTTCTGAGATGTAGGATTGATGATGAGTATTTAACTGTCATTGAAACAACAAAGACCTGTCTCTAAGCGGTCGGTGTGTTCTCTTTTGTTTAATACAGGTCTGGTGGTTCTAATTGATTCGATTACATTTCTATGTCTTTGGGTTTTAGTGATTACTTTCAATTGTCAGTAAATATCTACTGATCACTCCATGTTTAAATTTATTGGAATTATAATAACACTCACTATTAATCAAGCCTTTTTATACTTGATCAAAGCTATTGTTTGTTGAAATTTGTTTTTATTACTATACTTATTAAATACGTAAAGAATATGGAAATGGTTTAGTGAATTTTTTTTCATACCATCTTGAAAAGGACCAGTTCGCTCTAAAGTTCACACAAATAACTTGCATGCTCTTCAAAAACCATTGAAAAGCCGTATATAGTATTTGACTGTATATTTGTACTCAAAGTATAGCCGGTTTTTAAGTGGTCATATTAACTTCAAGTGTAAAACTTAAGATATAAATTTTATAAGCATTTAACTATAGTGCTGGGTCGAAAGAATACCATGTTATATTAATAAATATTAATAAATATATCCATGTACATTTGAATTCAGGAAAATTTTTTAATATACATTCTTAATAATGATATATATAAAGATTAAATGATGGACGTCTGATTACAGGACTGTCATAAACAACGCCTAAAGTAGACTTTGTATATAAAAGTTATACTACTACTTACTTTACATTATAATATATAATCCATGCCAATAAGGAGATAACAAAGGTCAAAATAGTTATATGTTTTCTAAAGAAATGTATGCAGAACAGATATTATCTATGAAAGGGATTCAGTGCATCGGAAAATACGCCGTTACAAGTTTATCCAAATATCATACACTTACTATATGGACTTAAAGAATTGTCATTGATAGGGTCTCTCTAATACTCCCATTAGCACACAGTGACGCTATACAACTCTAAGTATCGCTTTACATAATTTAAACTCGTTAAACGATTCGTTATAGAGAAATATACAATAAAGGCTCATAGGAAACCACGTCTAAGTGTTTTCTTGTATAGATATAGCTTTTCTGTGTGTAGCCGTTTTATACACACGGGATAAAAGAAGTTATATCTGTGTAGATTCTATATATACAAATACACTTCTACTTTTACTAGCTAAAGAAAACACATTTAGCGGTTCAGGTATATGTTTTGTTGATGAAATGTTTACAACATCTTTCTTAAATCACGATTGTAGTATGTTGTAGTTATACCGTATTCTTTATTCTCTAGCGATCCGGATCATCACGCTGTTGACTCTAAAGAATAGACTGTTATCCCGTCTGCGCGAGAGTATTATTTTGTCGACAATGGTCCAAACAATATGGCCGGTTTCCGGTGTCTTGCTCATTGTTCAAAACACTTTGACAACATCGTACTTTCATTGTAAAAACGCATGCTGTATATCTGATAAGGCACTGGTGACAGCAAACGTTGACGCTGTAACTGAGAATTAGGTAGCGGAGGCGGAGTAAGGGTTAGCTTTTCTATAGGGGAGAGAATGTTATGAGTTTCTAACACAAGATAGTTTACAAGCGTTCTAAAGACTTGATTGTGTTGACTCTTTAGAAGTTTGTTGTCAGTAACTGATGGTTTCATCACCTTCACTCAAACAGCTCGTTGTGATTCCCGTCAGTAAAAAATAAACACAGATTCATGCATTAAAATAACAGATGACATATTTTTTTCTTCGCTGGAATTTTGAATAATATCCTGGAATTGCCTTTATGTACGAATAAATCTGACAGATAGAAATTTTGTATGGTTCATGACGTGTAGTTTTTATACGTTTGATGTGTATTTTTCACAATACGTGTTAGTCTAAACTTATTAGTTTACAAATTATACTGAACATGCCTGGTAATTTTTCTTTTAAGTATTTAGATATGGAAAATATCATATGGCTGTAAAACCAAACCAACTCTTTTGGATCAGCAACTATATATCCATAACAATACAAGTCCTTCATAATTTTTTTTGTCTAATTCCCGTTCTTTCTTATAGTTAACTCACTCAAAATCATACACTAACAGTATTTGTCTATCCTTTCGTTTTTTTATGAAAAATGATGATGATTTTTTAATAAAAAACATTAAAAAGAAAGCATTGTATAAAAAGAGCGTCTACGGAAGCTAAGATTTACGAATTCCCAGACATGTTTATGCGGCCATGGTCAAAAACATTTATCTATTTCGCCTTTATTAAATAACAGTGTAAATGTTGTCTTAGAATTGGATGTCTTGGTTGTGCGACTTGATGTGAACTTGATGTTAATAATAAAAGGCCAAGTATGCGTGACCTACAAACCTGAAATCCGAATGTCCTGTTTGTCCTTCGAGGCTAATCGATGGTGGATTTATTATTCAACGAAAAGGACATCAGCGGCATCTTATCTGAAGATGATATTCATCATAAGTGAAAGATGAATCAATAATAAACTGTGAAAAAAAAGATAAAAAATCCATTTTGTTTAGACATGCTAATTTTATTTATTCCTAACTTATATGATTTATTCTTGCTATCGTTACAGGCCATTACGATCTCGTTTGCGATTCTGACGTCATCAGTCTTTGAGGTAAGTTGTCCTTGAATTTTGACGCTTGTTTTCTTTTGATTAATGGTCACTAGGCCAAACGTTTAACAGACACTGATGGTATTTATCGTTTAAACGAAAACCCGTTAATGAATTCAAAGAACACAACACTATATATTTATCATTTAACGGCGGCATCGGGTAACCTTCCTTTCGTATGTATATTAATATCATGCGAGTTTCTTCCTGTCTTGTCAAGTCGTCTATCATGTTACAAGACAGCCACTAATGTGAACTTATGATACCATTCTCATGGTATGTTCATCTTAAGTAACTTTGGGAAAAAATATAACATAGCGTCAACGCACAAAGGTATAACTGTAAGTCTACACAAACCAACCCGTCCCTTCGTATGTTCTCAGAATATGTTCTTCTTAAAGTAACATAGAAAATATCGCATCATAAGCAGAAATGTACACATCCTTCCTGGAGATATTTTTTCTGTAAATAATATAGAAAATGACAACACAACGTACTGTCAATACAAACCAAATTGCCTCATAGCGTCAACACCTACAGGTACAAAATCAGACCTAACAGTCAACACGTATTGAACTGTCTATTCTTAGTAAGTAACATAGAAAATAACACACCATGAGCAGAAACGTTCACTTCCTTCTGCAAGATTTTTACTTCCATAATCAATGTAAAATAATTGCCATACTGTCACATAAGGAGAAAAGAGTCGACAGAAATATCAACTTCCTTCTCAAGATATAAATAATAACAGAACGTAATGTCACTACATGCAAAGATTCAACATAAACGTCGTCAAAAACATGAAATTCTTTCCTTCAGTTATGTTCTTCCATAAGCTGTATCGAAAATTGTAATACACCATACTATACTACCAATATACTTAAAATATAACCATTGCACCAACACACAAAATCATAACTCAGGCCGATACAAATCAGTGTAGGAGCCGGGAATTTTGTACGTTTATTGAATTTGTTGGTGTCCTCAGGTTTGATTTGTTATTTTAAAGTATATTCTTCCGTCGTTTATATTCCATATCTAATCAACCATTGTAAATTATATATCATTCCTGTGTGGTAATTTTATCTATATATATACATTTACGGGTAGGAGAAGAAAATTCTACTATTGTCAATAATAAATTATGTACACTAGAAAATATACACTAAATAATTGATTATTTACATTACAAAACAACTCACAAAAATTATTATGCAGATAATAAATTATATTTAATATGATTAAAAATGTACACTAGAAATTTCACATTATATGATTAATTAAATACATAAATATCCATTAATACGTACACTGAAATTTCACATAATTTGATTAATGATGTACACTACGAATAATTAACGACATAGTTATACCACCATAAAGCACACACACTATAATTACGTACACTACATAATAAATACAAAATAAATATAAATTATACACGATACAATAATTATGTATACTACAAATAACATACAAAACTATAACGTAGACAATACCATAACATTTAAATTGTGTACAGTACAAGTAATGCACAAAATGACTTCATTACGTACATTCAGAAATACCGCATACAATGTAATGCATAGCCAATATAATACAAAAGTGTGATTACGCTTAATGGTATATGTTATCGTATGAAGTTAGAAACGATAAGTTGCAGAATATGCCTTTTCCTTTAGATTGACATAATTGTACTATGATAGGATGTCGCCTATCAGAGATGGATTATTGATGTCATCACTTGTTTCTTTAACAAATAAAAATTTACTTGGATCGTTAGCAAATATCGTGTTACATCGTGATCGTAGATATCACTTCACTAGGATATGTAGGTTTAGCATATGACCGATAAATGAAATCGTTAGATTTTCATACTGATTATGAATATGAAAGAAAATAATCGATACCTGTAGTGATTTCTAGTTATAAAAGGACGAATACCATTCTGAACGAAATACCCTATGAATTTCTCATTAAAATTGTAGCAACAAAAACATTGTGGAACGAAAAGAGATTATAATTATTATGATTAACACTCAGCTGCCTTCCTTTTGGATTAGTGATACCACTCAGGGAGACTAGTACGCCTTAGGCTGTGTCAGGTGAGCGTTTCACACACGGGTAGGGAACGGATAGATAGGTAGATAGGTATTCCGGCTTCTGTAGGTACAACCGTCTTCAAGGTTCAGTTATAATAGAAAGCCTAGCCCCCTCCTGTTAGCATCTGATGGAGCGCTGTTCGCAATCCTTTGATCATTCACCGGTATCTATCTATACTTTTCAGTGACATTTGAAGACTCTAACCCATGCAGGGATAATCTATATTATTCTCCACATGACTCTGCGTTATAAAAACGTCTCTTTATATATTTTCCCAAATAAACAGACATGTTTTCTCTGTTGACATACGTCAGTTCTTCAGTAACTCTAGTAAAGATGAAAAATCCAATTTATTTCATTTAATTGCTTTAACAAATAAAAACCATACAACAAGAAGTATACTGTCCAATGACTCAATGTGTTTATGTGTCCATCAACACTTACAGGCACTTAGTTCTTTAGATGCATACATATCAATTCCATCAGAAACTGATCAAATCTTGATATCTTTGGCAAAATAAAATAATAGAATCTGCTCTAATCTTAACTCAGTTTCATAATTAAGAGATTCACGTGAAAATAAACCGCTGTTTGACTACACCCAATTATAATGTGTACCCAGAAGAGTGGTCTTCAGTATATGGCAAAATGTGGAATTAATATCAGAGTTTTGTATTAATGTGATTTTAATTAACTTACTAACAGGTGCATACCAAGTATGACAGATTTAAGTCTGCCTTAACCGATAGTTAATCGTTTCAATGCAAACACCTGTTGAATAAATCTTCAGGAAATTATAATGATAAATTTCAGATTTATTAAATGGTTAATTGTCCAACGTTAAAAATTTAAAGTCTTAATTATTATAATGGATAATTGCAAACTTATGAAATGGCTAAAAGCACAATAGTAGAAACTGAATGATATTCATGTTAAAACTATTAATACTAGATTAATTAATGGCTAATTGTCTCATAGTTAAAGTTTTATCATATCAATGTTTTAATAATTAACACTAGACTTATTGAATGGTTAATAGTTCCATAGTAAACGTTTTATCATATCAATATAACAATTATTAATACTAGACTTATGCAATTGCTAATAGTCCCATAGTAAAAGTTATATGATGTCAGTGTTATAATAACTAATACTAGACTTATTGAATGGTTAATAATCCCATAGTAAACGTTTTATTATATCAATGTAATATGGTTGATACTAGACTTATTCAATGGCTAATAGTCCCATAGTTAAAGTTATATGATGTCAATGTTATAATAACTAATAATAGACTTATTCAATGGTTGTAAGTCCCATAGAAAAAAATATTACATCAATGTTGTCATGATTGATACTAAACTTATTCAATGTCTAATAATTCCATAGATAAAATTGTATGATGTCAATGTTATAATAACTAATAATAGACTTATTCAATGGCTGTTAGTCCCATAGTAAACGTTTCCTTATATCAATGTAATATGATTAATACTAGACTCGTTCATTGGCTTATAGTCTTATAGTAAAAGTGTTATTATACCAATATTATTACAATGATTAATACTAGACTTGTGTAGTTGCTAATAGTCCTATAGTAAAAGTTATTATGATGGCAATGTTATAATAACTAATTCTAGTTTGATATTAGTCCCATATCAAATGTTCTATTATATGAAGTAGGTTGAGATGTTTTCATGATATTTTAATACCGTATACATTTCACATATCATCAAAATGACGAATATATGCACTGCGAAAAGTATGTATGTAACAACACCCACTTTTCTGAAAATGTTAAGATCAGATATTATTTGAAATATGAGACTTCACGATTACTTATCAGCCCGACTCGATGGGTTTTGTTCTAAACACATGTATTAAATTTCTTCTTCTAAATATAACATGCCAATTGATTAATTGTCATAGAAGCGGTGTCTCACTAGGCGTATGTGGATGATTTTATCAGTTGTTAGAAAAATCCATATCATTTCTCAAATTGTCGTAAACATATATAATGTTAACTTGTCAGGCAATATCACAGAAACAGATCTGTTTATCTGTGTTTTTAAATTGTACATGGATCTGCATTACTGCATATCATTTTACTGCAAACTTACTGGTTTGTGTGTGAGAATGACTGCTGAGTTGCTAGTTTGTGTGAGAGAATTACTGAGGAGTTACAGGTTTGTGCGAGACATTTACTGTAGAGTTACAGGTTTGTGTGAGAGATTTACTGTATAGTTACTGGTTTGTGTGAGAGATTTACTGTAGAGTTACAGGTTTGTGTGAGAGATTTACTGTAGAGTTTCTGGTTTGTGTGAGAGATTTACTGTAGAGTTACTGCTTCGTATGAGAGATTTACTGTAGAGTTACTGGTTCGTGTGAGAGATTTACTGTAGAGTTTCTGGTAAGTGTGAGAAATTTACTGTAGAGTTACAGGTTTGTGTGAGAGATTTACTGTACAGTTACAGGTTTGTGTTAGAGATTTACTGTAGAGTTTCTGGTTTGTGCGACAGATTTACTGTAGAGTTACAGGTTTGTGTGAGAGATTTACTGTAGAGTTTCCGGTTTGTGTGAGAGATTTACTGTAGAGTTTCCGGTTTGTGTGAGAGATTTACTGTAGAGTTTCCGGTTTGTGTGAGAGATTTACTGTAGAGTTACAGGTTTGTGTGAGAGATTTACTGTAGAATTTCTGGTTTGTGCGACAGATTTACTGTAGAGTTACTGGTTTGTGCGACAGATTTACTGTAGAGTTACAGGTTTGTGTGAGAGATTTACTGTAGAGTTACAGGTTTGTGTGAGAGATTTACTGTAGAGTTACAGGTTTGTGTGAGAGATTTACTGTAGATATACAGGTTTGTGTGAGAGATTTACTGTAGAGTTACAGGTTTGTGTGA